CCTTGATTTCCTAATTTGAAGATTTAAAAAAATTATTTAAATAATGAAAAATTAATAATATTTTTATTTTCTCAAAATGGGGACGGTCCTCTATGGATCTCAACACTCCAAAATGGGCTACTTGAAAATTTACATATTTGGAAATTGATACGTTATTAAAACTATTGCATTAATGTCAAAAATGAAGGATGCGAAAAATGCTATACAAATTTGTAAATGACAGGGCTTAATGACTGGAAATAATTTTTTTTATTTCAGTGTGAAAATATTTACTTAAAGACTCGGATATGATTCTGCAATCGGCCTTATTAACCTAATATTCTGTTCTCCAGTTTAAAAAAAATTAAGATATAATATGGAAGTTATGTTTCAGCAATAACTCTGCCCTCATGGAGACTTGGCTAATACAGAATAAGTTTTCCTGAGTCAAATATAACTAAGTTGCATAAAAAAATGGCTGCCTATTTGATATTACTTTTCTCTAAGATAGATTTGCAGCATCATATATCTGACCCATCAGTCGTAGTCAAGATAAATTTTGCTGAACCAAAAAGTAAATTTTCATCACAAGTTAACAATATTCCAGTGATAAAGAAATTGTATGAATTAAAAAAATACTAATTACACTTTCTTAATAAATGTTCTAACATTAATCGCATTCTTAACCCTCTTAATGTAATAAAAGAATCACTTTATTTAGTGATAAAAATTAATTTAGGGTTCAGCTTCAAGATTTGTTTATAGAAGAATAATCGAACATTTAGATTACAAAATCTCAAGCTATTTCAATGTAATAGTAAAGTACACATAGGTATATACACCATAGATGGAAATGAGTAGCCTCCAATGGTGAATATGCGCCTCATATATGTATATGTAATCTTAACTCAGTGAGATTTTGTACAGTTTTCATAAATACCATATTTGTTATTAATTTATATTCAATTATACAGATCACAATTCAAAAATCAAAATGTATGTTTTTGCTTTAAAGAATTAAACTACCAAAAATGAAATACTAAAAAATATACTAAACTACAGTCTAACCTAAAAACTGCCTCAAATGATAAAATAATTCCGACCTATGGCATATACTCATAACTATTTAAATCTATTCATGTACAATACACTATCTTTGCTTTGCATTTATGTGCAATCTTATTTTTTCTTCGCTGCTGCCTGAATTGGCAAAAAGAATTTACTATTTACTCGCGCTATTTTAGACTTAAAAATTTGTTTTTAGAATCTTCCATATAATATAATACAAATATTTAAAGTAAGAAAGAATTATTGGAGTTAATTATTTTATATCTTTTCTCAGTAATTGTTCTGAATCATTCCTCTAAGATGGCAATTGGATCCAACGTACATTACAGATAGAATACATTACAGATAAAAGTTGTCCAATATTGACGATAGGCGTGTCCTAATGACTGATATTTTCCATCTAACCTAATGTAAGAAATGATGGAGATTTGTCATCTAAGTCTACTTTCGAACACACTTGATTATTTCATCACTAATAAGTTCGATGCGATCTTGAACTTAGCTGCCATGTAGTGATTTGGAATTAGTATCTTTTCATTTTTTGGGGGGTTTTTGCTGTCAAAAATTAAATAATTTACATTCAATGAATTTCATCCAAGGCATATATTACTTATTAATGTAACTCCTTAAAAAATCATGAATTTGTTCCATATTTTACCAAATAATATCATGTTAAGGGATAAAAAATCCTTTTTCACCTTGACCTATAGGAATCTGTTATTTAAAAAACACAAAAAAATAAAACGTAGTCGTCAATATTTAATAAATAAATAAATATATTGGGCTATTGTTTAATGGAGTTGTTTTGGATTATTTTTAAAACTTTTAGAGAACTACCATCCCCATATCAGAAAAACTTTCTCTGCTCTGAGTTAATGAATATAAATAAAATCTACCTTGCACGTACAGCAGTTAGAGCAAAATGTAGTCGAATCAGGATTCGAAAAGCTTTTGGTCAACAACGTCTCCTTGCAGCCTTCAGTTGAACTGTCGCTTTCCGCAATAGCATGCCTTCTTGCACTCAGGGTGCGCCGCCAAGATTTACTCATTTTCTAAAGCCTTTTGATATACACTATACATTTTTTTAAGTTTCATTATTTCAAACACGACACAAGACTTCTAACCAAAACAAAAACACTTATCAATGCTCATGTTTCTAAATTACTGCTTTAAATTTTTGTATATTATTATTAAAGTTTATAAATTGTCGGAAAGGGACAGGATCAATAATGTTCGCTTAGCTAGTAATAAAGTAAAACTATATTAACAACAAATAAAATGATGTACAATGATAACCACAATAACAAAAAAAATAAATTAAAATAAAAACAGATGTTTAGAATTAACAGGTGGAAACAAAGAGACACAGTCTTAATAGGTTCATAAAATAACTTGTAAACTCACCATTTGATTCTTTAATTACATTTCTTAAAGGTATTTATATCAAACAATACAATATCATTATTTCATATAACATTTCATTATGATTATTTATATAATTTTTTTTTTTTATAAGATGGTATTAACAATTCATAATAAACAGCAAAAATCAGTCACTCGATGGCACTTCGCAAGGAGTCGGCCACGCCACTTAAATCAATAAGTTATTTTTTATAAGTCTATTTACATAGCATATGCAGCAAAATATTTTTTAAAATATATAATACAGTTTTCAAAAATAATTGTTAAATCTGTCTAATGTTAAATAACAGACAAGGATTTCTTGCCAAGTGAATATTTTTTATAACCGTATAAACAGATAATTAAATAAAATGAATATTTAAGAATAAGAATGCACAGGTGACTAATGAAAAAAAAAAAAAAAAGAAAGAAATATTGGATTTTTATATATTGAATATAAATGTTCATATTTTTGAAATTACACAATTTATACTTGTATAAATCAATAAAATATTGTTTCAAAAGGTAGTAATAAAAAGTTTATTGTCAGTATATTTATATAATTTTTAGTGACAAAAATGTAAGAAAAGTTTGAATTAATTAAGATTTAAAAACCAATTATAGAATAAAGAAGAGGCAATCAGAAAACAAATTTGGATGATCAAAGTCCAAAATATATATTTCAATAAATATTTTTAATAGTTAGAAAAATGAAAATATTTTAGTTAAGCATACCTTTATTAATGAGAAAAAAAATCTCAGAAATGAAAATAAATTTTCTTTTTGATCCTTACATTCTTTTTATTTATTTTTTTTACTTTATTATTTTTAAAAATTTAATTCTTGATAAATTATGATGCCACTTTCGAGAGCATCAATAAAATTTCAATAAATGCATTATTAGTGCTTTTGTGTTGATTTTTAAATTATGTAATCCATTGAAAAAAATACATACATATATATAATAATTTGACTATACTTCTTTACATTTTCGAGCTATACTTTTCATAAATATAAAATAAAATCAATGTATTTTAAAATAATCAAGAACACAACACTCTTAATTAAAATAACATATATATATATATAATTAAACAATAAAATAATTAAAAACAAATGCATGGGTAGGTAAAGAAATCTAAAAAGAACAATCCTTCGAAAGTGTCTAAAATATCAAATTATACAAGTGATGAAAACACACTCTAGATACTATAGTTCAATCTACAAAAGATTAAATTTAAAATAATTGTAATACTTGGAAAATACAAATATGAAAAAATTTCTTTACAAATCAGTGTTGGGCAAACTTTATTTAAATAAAAAATAAAATCCACATTATTTGGCAAGAGAAATGGAATGGGAATAATATAAAACTGAAACATTGCGCCAAAATTGAACATTGTTTATTGTTCAAGACTGCTAGAAGCAGAAAATGTTTACAATGATCTATTAAAGGAAATTTCTATATTCAATATTCTATTTTAAAATTTATAAAAATATTGAATTAATTTATTTGTAAGCAAACTGCTGACAATATAACAGATCTGGATATAAGTTTCTGAGATATACAGAGGGCTACAAGGATGTAAAAAAAAAAAAAAAAAAATTACGATGTTAAGAGAAATTTCAAATCCAGTCTAGAAGAGTAATTATTATATTTGAATTAATTTTGACATTCCCACTAGGTTTTATCTTTTATACCATCGATTGATTAAATAAGGAAGTTAAGCCAAAAACATTGGAGTAAGATAGGTCATACTTATAGAAAGAGGTAAACACTGCCAGGAATGTGCTAAAATGGAACCCATAAAGAGGAATAAAAATACATATATTTGGGAAACGGAAGAGATGGCTTGAAGGAACCGAATAAAAAAAAATTTAAATAACGTCCAACACTGTTACATATACTAACTAATAGATAATTTGCCAATAGACATATTCCAATATAAAATAATCTTTAATGTAAAATAAAACCATAATATCCACCATTTCATATACATGATTCGACAGTTTTGTAATTAAATAAAATTTATAAATAAGTTAAACTTTTGACATTGGGTTACCATTAAAATGCATAATGTATGTACATGTATGTTAGAGTTCTGTAAACTATTTACTAAGGCAATTTTCTAATTATCATAGGTAGGTAATATTAGTATAATATGCGATGAAACTTTGGTCAAATAAATTATAGCTGAGGTAATATTTCAATATAATATAAACCTTCCAATAGATACCTACTTGTATATTTCAAAATTTAATAAACAAAAAATGGACGAGCATTGCTATCTTAATTTTTAAAAAACTAACAAAAATGCAATAGGTAAAATAAAGATTCAGTATAAGGTTCATAAGAATATTTTAAACAATATACATTAAATATTCATTACAAATCCTTCTATATAACTCGACAATAAAATACATGCAACAAATAAATATTAAAATTGGTAAGTGATAGCTATTTACACTATTTTAGTTCTTTGATTGTTTTTGTAAAAGTTAATATACCTTAAACTAATATTAAAAATATTTTTCATTTTCAGTTTTTTTTTTTAAATGGTTTTTATTTTGACAAAATATTATTATTTCCATAAAAATTGTCATCAATTAAAGGCACTAATTGGTAATAATAATGTAAATTATTTTCAATAAAATAAAATCCAAGTAAAAGAGAATAGTTCATATAATATTCATATACAGTAATTTTGAAAAATATATCACATATAACAACGATTATTTCTGTTTGTTGCAACATGCCTTCGTAAATTCGTAATGTATAAATTACGAGCTTCAAAAATAATTATTTATTTATAAGTCGGTCGTAGGTAACCTATAACTAGACCGTTCCTGCAAAAGTGGCATTATACTGAATATAAAGTTATCAGCACGTCGGCCTTTGCCACTAAAGTATAATTCACACTAACAGAGCCGTTCCCGTCATCGGCGGCTCCTCACAGGGGGCGGGTGAAGTTGGCAGGGAACATCCCCTTCTCTCCTGTCGACTCCTTCAATCCCATCAACCAGCCTTCCTCCTGCGTGATATCAAAATAATATTAGAAACAAAATATTAAAGTAAAAAAATTTAAAACATAGCAGAAAAAAGAACTTTAATTGAACCATCAAATAGTAAGTGGGTTTAATAAGAGTTGAAAGTAGATGAGTCGAAAAATTTCAACCAAATTTTTTTTGGCTCTTCAATAAATTGGACCTGCATACATTTATTTCAATGGACCTTAGTCAAGAAAAACAATTTTTTTATAAAATTCCAAATCTTTTTTTGCTTTTGCTTTGCATGATTTCTAGGTTATTATTAAGGCCCAGTTTTATCTTTTTTACTTTTGCTTACCCATGTATGAAATATGTAGTATGGGGAAGTATTGCAGTCGTGAAAATTTTCAAATCTCAGTTTTCAACAGAAATACATGGATTGAGGTCCCCTGAATCCAAATAACCAAGTCCCGCAACATTATCTGTGTGTGTGTATGTATGTATGTGAACAGTCTAGCTCAAAAATGAAATTGCATATTTAAGGTTAGTATATACCTAGGATGTTATAAAAACTTTTTTGTCAAAATTGGCTAACCAGAAGTGGCACTTTATATAATCAATTTTACACATTTTTATGATTTTCTCGAAAATTTTGATTAAACTCAGTAGATCAGTGTACTATTAAGTGATTTTTAATTTAAGGTATGTTTTATCCTCATTGGTGGAACCTGACAGGGCCTAAATGCCTTCCTCTAAATTACCTTCAAATTTTTTTGTTTTAAATAATTAACCATTTCACATTAACCTCACATGTAAAAAATAGTCAAAAATAAAATATGAAAGAATTTGATAATTAAATAAAGGAGAAAGGAGAGATCGTAACGGGAGAATAGTTATAATGGAAGAACCAAAGGAATATGAGCGCATCCGAAAGATTGGGACAGACTTTCATATGTAACTACTAAGATACATATGTACATCATTTAAAGTAAATATTTATCCACTCTTTTATTATTATTATTTTTCATTAATACAATGGCATGACAACAAAAGTTATTTGTCGCTCATTTATAAATCCATAGTTTATTATTTATAGCAACTATTTTGCAGTATTAGGACCTTATTGCTCATATTATGTCTTTACTATATCTGTACAGTTATGTAAATACTTCTTTTATCCCTTATTTTTTAGTGTTTTTTTTTTGTTTGTTTGTTTTTGTTTATTGTAATATGCATTTTGGCCAGATGTAATGTTAATTTTACGTACAATATTGTTATTCTCAAGGAACTTTGTCCCAGAATAAAGTTGATTCTTCTATTCTATTCTAACATGAGATTAATAACACGGACTCTGACAATATTATGTAAATATACATCTGTGGTTTTCATAAATGTTATCGTTGGTATTATTTAATATTTAATTGTATATAGCCATATAAAAATTAAAATTTGTATATATACCGGCACTTAAACAAACTAATCATACATAATAAAATATAAATAAATATAGCTGTTTTCTAATCAAATGAAACATAATACATTAGAAGGCTACGAAAAACGTATGGTAATTAATTGTTTTAAATAATGTTTCTAATCTTCTATAATTTTTACTTTTACTTCCCTTCGTCTTAAAATACTTATTTCTGCTAAGAAGAGGGTGGTAAGTGAAAGAAGAGTACTCAACAGATCTATGCTGATCTTGAGGGTATATAATCTTTTTTGATCTATGTATAACTAAAATAGATATTTTTTACAATTTATCACTAAAATAGATCTTTTTTTTTTTAATTTTGTATGAAAACAAATCTGTTTTGCTATTTGGCACAAAGAAAATACAAAAAAAAAAAAAATTATTTTTGGGTCTTTACTTAAGTTTGATTCAATTGAATATTATAATGAATCATGTTTTTACCCTGTACTAAATACCTAATAATATTAATTCAATGAAAAAAAAGAAAAGTAATACCCTCATAATGTTCAGATATTCATCTAGAAAGCATTACTAAATAACATTCAAGAAAACGAAACATCTGCATTTTGAGTCTGACCAAATTATCAATTTCCTACATTGATTCACAGAAAAGTTTGCTGTTTCCACACAGCGTTTCATTTGATTCGATTATCTCATTTAATGGAGAGAAGAATAGTTGGGGTGATCAGTCAAATAAGAAGGCAAAAATAAATGATACTATTTATTTTGACATTAGCAGACGTTGCGACCTGAAGTTCAGGCCATCATCAGGGCTGCTTACGGAGATTAATATCCCGCAATCAGAAAATTAAATCATTGCGTGATTTACATCTTCATAAGCAGCCCTGATGATGGCCTGAACTTCATGTTGAAACGTCGGCTAATGTCAAAATAAATAGTATCATTTATTTTTGCCTTCTTATTTGACTTATCACCCCAACTATTCTTCTCTCCATTATTCACGACAGTCAACCATTTACCAATTATTATACCTCATTTAATGCTTTACAGTATACAAGAATACATAACGTGGACAACTCTCTTTGTTAACAATAAAATTTGTATTTAAGGGTTTTTTTTAGGTGCAAAAAATGAATATTAACTTTGTTTCTTCTAAATAAAAATCTTTATCCTCTCATTATTATGTAGGTTGGTCCAATTTATTTTAATATTGTTTTCATAGTGTTGTGCTCATCTGCTAATTATAATATTTTTTAATATGGATTACCTGCTCCTCAGGGTCGTCATACTGCACGACCCGGATAATTTCTCCAACTTCGAATGACAGCTCGTCGACATCTTCTCGATTGTACCTGTATGTGGCTTTAACTTTGTACAATACACCAGGTGGTAAATTATCTGTTGTCGCACCTGTAAACGAATAGAATTTAAAAAAAAAATATATATTTAATCATAACTATAATGTTGATGGGATTAAAGAACATTGAATTTTTTAATTAAAATATAATGATTCACAAAGAATGATTAAGCTAATTATGATCATATACAGCTTTGAATAAAAGTTAATAATTAAGTCAAATTTGATCATTTAGAATAAAATAAAATAAAATCCAGTGTGATTCAACATAATGATTCCTTGAAAAATTTTATATATATAAAAACGTTTGCAATTTTTTTTTCATTTTTACCAACCTAAAAATTATTTTAGTTATTTTTTTTTTTACAGTTAAAGAAGTATAAAAGACAAATTTTTAGGCTATTAAATAGATTAGGTATTACTTTTCATTGATTTTGTAAGACTTTAAATTAGTTCTGAGTCACAGTTTTTGTACATTTTTGATATCATACTCGCTGGAATTTTATATTATTTTGCTTTTACATTAATTTTTCATTTCACTAGTGACATATTTTATTAGGTTAGATTTCCCTTACACACTTGATAATTTTCATAAGTTTTGTAAGAGAACTTTATTGATAATTTTAATTTTAAGAGCAGGATTTCTTTTTAAGCTATATGTTAAGTCAAGTCGAAGATCTTTGGTAACTTTTCAATACTAGACCATTCCAAGATATTACGGGAGTAATTTTTACTTTTTCTAAATGATATAGCACTTTTAACTCCAAGGATTTTTCATTTGTAACTTCCTGTTATTTTCAAATTGTTTCGGCCGTGGTAGTTACAAGAACAGAATCACTGGGTACTGATATATGCTTATTATTATTATTTTAGCTCAATATACAGAAATTTCATTCAATGTTTCCTTTGTCTGGATTAAAAAAAAAAAAAAAGAAAGTTGAATAGACAGATTAATAATTTATGGAAGTTTGATATATAAGAGATTCAATTTTAGCTGCCGGGTGAGAGCATTGTTGAAACATGCACTTTGCTCAACGCTAAAGCAGTCTCCGCAACAGAACTTAGCTGCAATTGGTACATGCAAAGAAAGGTCAATAAGTCTCTTTAAGCCAACTTGCAAATATCAATTTATGAAAGAAAATTTTCAACAGTGACATTGTTGCATAGCAAATCACAATAATCATATCTGCCAAGTCAATGAATATACCTTCCTTACCATTTTTATTGAGTACTAACAGAAATATGCGTAGACTTCACTAAGGATATAATTTTATTAAAAACTGAATGGATTAACACAATAAAAACAGGACTAATAAATTTCATAGCCATTATATTCCAAACAATTACATTAATTTTTATTGTTAAAATAGAAAATTGATACCAGGCCATTTGTACAATATTCATCAAATTTTCTTCAACTTTGAGCCAAGCCGTTTACAGGATATTCTCGATTAATTCGAACCCCCTAGTAATCTGAAATCTCTGGTAATCCGAACAAGAAAAAAAAAAGTTAACTAACTAGAAACGGAATGGAAATGGCTCTGTTTCACAGTACATATTACTGGAATCGTGTGGTAGAGTTACATAGTGTATTGTAGTGTCTCTAAACAGAAAACATTAAAACTAAGCGGTCATCAAGAAGTAGAGGAATCTCTTTATATGAGGTCTTTGCAACAGAAAGCCCAACTTCTGGGGATATATTAGCTAAAAAATCAAAGTTTTACTTTAATAATTTTTATTTTCACTTACCTATATATGAAATATATAGCAAGAGAAAGTATTGCGAACATGAAAATTTTTGAATCTGAGTTTCCAACGAAAATACATGTTTTGAGGCCTCTGAGTCGAAATAACCAAGTCCAAGAATACCATTCCATACGTAACCTAAGCTTAATATAATAAGGACTCCAACAATATTATGTAAGTATACATATGCGGTTTTCATAAATGCTATCGTTGGTATTATTTAATATTTAATTTTATAGGTTACAGCGATATAAATATTAAAATTTGTATATGTAAAAGGGTACTTTGTCTGAAAATACTAATTTCTGCTAAGAAGAGAGTGGTAAGGAAAGTTGTGTGATAAGCGCACCACACAAGATTTTTTTAAGAAGGATGATAAATTAGACCTTGATGCCAATAATGGTTGGCTTGATAATTTGAAAGCAGTTTTCTAATTTTTATTTTACTGGCAAATTTCTGCATCCATTTTATTTTTACTATAAATAAGTCAAAGAACTGCCATAAAGGTGTTTCATAAATACTTACTTGGATTGGATGAATGGATACAACATCGACTATCGAAGCATGGTCCTTTTAAAGAATTTGAGAAATCAGGCGTTTTATTTAGCAACAAATCCAGAAACTCAACAGACATTATAGGATCATTTTTACTTTCCTACCTATACCAAGCAAAGAATTACGATTGAGTCAAATTACCGATGTGCAGTTTTCGAAAGATCTGTATGTTTCAGAGGAGGAAGCGGGGAGGGCTTTCGGGCTGAAGCCCCCGCAAATGGTGAAATGTAACCATATTTTATGGAGAAAAATTATCTCTTACACTTGTTCGTGTAATTACATTTAATAGGACTTTAAGAATCACTTAAACTCATATAGGTACTTAGTATCTTTCTTTTTTTCTGACGTAATTATTGTTATATATATATGAAAAAAAAAGTTTTCGGGATGATGGGCCCCCAAAATTAAATCCTGGATCCGCTAGAGGTACTCAAATCATTTCTTTGTTCATTTATATTTCAAGTGTTTATGAATTTTCAGGAAAATAAATCAAATTTAATTTTTTTTGTTTTGTTTTCTAAAGGACATTCCAGATTTTTTAGTTTACAATGGGTTTATATTTAACTGATAATAAATGTTACCTTCTACAATTTTTCACCATTTTAAATTTAACCTTTGATAATTTTAACTGGCCATACAATCTACTTATTCAGATTATCCATTTTTGTATCAAGCTTATCAGATTATCTGGATAAGCAAAATTGATAATTGACCCTGTGTTTAAAAATCGGACAGACACTAAATCAAATTATTTTCTTTGCGTCCAAAGCATAAAACAGGATTGGAAATTTATGGGTATGACAGATACATACCTAAAAAAACCCTAAGTAATAAACTTATAATAATAAGTAGGAGTCAGTTGTGAAAGTATACAAAATTAAAAGCATGAAGTATGAAGGATAAATAAAAATAATCAAACATATAATTTGTTCAAATATTACCTTAGACAACTTGATGATTTGCCTTACCTGTCGGAATATCGTAGAGATCCTCAACTCTTCGATTGTTAGTGGTATTATTGTTGGTTTCTGTCGTAGTCGTAGGAGCTGGTGTTGGAACGGGGGAATTACCATTGACCAGGGGTGTAGAAGGACCGTTTGTGTTGCTGGTGGTGTCATTAGCCGTAGGAGCGGGCTCAGACTCGGTCTGATCTGAAGAATTATTTACTATACTTGTACCATTTTGTGCACTCTCTGTGTCGCTGGATATAGCCAGCGGCGGTTCAGAGGTCTCTTCCTCTTGAGGAGATTCCATCGGTGGCTCATCTGCTAAAAAGGTTAATGTTAGTCAATTAGCATAACACGCACACTGTTAATTTGTTTTTGTTTTGTATCTTTTTTTTTTCTTCAATTATTTAAAACTTAAAAACAAGTACATGTATATAATTATAGCACATAACTTATTGCACAGAAATTAGTAATAAAGCTGAACATTTGTAGCATGAGATAAAGTACTTCCACATACGATTCAGCTCAGAAATGCCTACCATGCAATAACGTCAGTTAATTTGAAGTATATTAAGTAAAAGCCAAAATAAATAAAATGTAGAAATGAAACTAAAGCCAAATCAATTAAAGATATCAGCTACAAAAAAAAAAAATAATAAAAAAATATACACAGCTTACCTGTTGTAGAGGTAGGTGAACCTGGGCTGTTTCTGCAATTGAGAAATATTTTATTAATATTTATACAGCTATAACAATTATTTCATAAGATAATAATCAATTCAAATATAACAATATATGAATTATATTGCCAAATTAATCGAGTAATGTTTCAAAGATTATTGAATTAGACCAGAGTTTGTTCCCAATATTGAGACAAGCCTAAACTCTCCTCCTCCTCCTCCTCCTCTACACCCTCCCCAAATTCACAAGAATGACCTTCGATGTACCCAGTGTGCAAATATGAAACAAGAATCGTCCATAGATGAGTCTAGTTGTTAATGTAGTTACTGTTTAACCGCATTATTGGTGCTATTTTGTTTCTTCGACAACTAGTAAAGACTTTCAACTTACAAGATTGATATTTTTAAGATATTTTTTTTTTAAAACAGCATCCTTTTAATAGTTTTGCGCATATAAAGTATTATTCAAACATTTAAAGAAAACTGTTGTAGAATAGGAACAAATCCTCGTCAAAGCTTGTAGTAAGCATGCTCATGGTGAATCAAACGGCTTTGAATGGTTTAAAAAATTAAAAAATGGTAATTTTTACATGAGGAAAAAAGAATATGGAGGATAAGTGTGATCTATTAGAATTGAATATTGCGTGAAAAGTTGCCCTAATATTAAAAAAGAAAACACCAAGTGATTTTGCTTCATGATAATGAACCATCATCACAGCAAAATTAGTGAAGAAATGTTCTCCCCTCTTTTTTATAAAGTTATCTCTAGGGTCTCCTTTTTCTATTTAGCGTTTTAAAATTTAAAAAAATATTCTGTTATGCAGGTATTATCTCTATTTAAAAAAACTAACATCTTTTTGCACTAGTGATGGGCCCCCGAACTTCAATTGTTCTAGTAATGGAAATGGGCTGGGTTTATTCCAAACAAGATTATTAACAAGATTATTCCAAAATGTATGATTACAACAAAATTTTATCCAATGTTCCTTTATTACCTGGACTATATCTTAGTGCCTACATATTATTATATAAATCACTGTAGATATTATTACCTTTTGTATTAAGTTAGTTTTTTATTAGATAGCCTATTGTTTATAAATTGTGTAGTTATGTATATATAAATATGTAATTTCTTTTCTTTTTTTTCATCACAATAATAAGAAATTTTGAGAAGATTTTATGTTCATTTATATATATATATATATATATATATATATATATATATATATATATTTTTTTTTTTTGTTTTTGTTTATTTTTTAGTGGTTACATACTTTTTAAATAATGTATATAATATTAGAATTTTTATAAGTTAGTTTTTGGCCAGATTTGTATTTTACTTTGTATTAATTCAACATTGTTATTCTAAGGGGACTTAGACCCAGAATAAAGTTTAATTTTCTATTCTATGTATTGTATCTCTTTATATTTTTTTACAGAACTCAGTAAATCTTGTCTTATTTCATAGGTTCTACTGAACGGTTTACTTACGAATTGATATTGTTGATTTTTGGCGAATAAGTAACTTTCCTTGGGGTGTACGACTGCCTTTGGCTATCTGTGGCTAATTTATCGATGATCGCTTCGAGCTCTGAATATACCTGTCAAGTATACAAATACAAAATAATATAAATTGATCATACAGTAAGTGGAAAAGTAATAAACACATTTCAAATAATAACTGAAGTGCATCACTATGCTGACCTTTGAAGTTTCTGTATGGAAGACTTGTTCCGCTGAAAAAAGTGTCTGAAGATTGTTAACTAAAAATAAAATTCTGGAATGATACAAAGCTGGAAGATCGTCGTGAAGTTCACTGTTCAACAATTCGTAAGTTCTCTTGGCCTGCTGCAACTGTTCACGAGCTTTCAGAACCTGAAAAAAAAGATCTTTAATATAGTTCATTTCTCTCATTTTTAATTTAAATTGGATATAATGCTCAACTTGAATAAAACATACATTGGGTAATGTGAATAAAATGAAGTAAATTCTGTAAAACTCGAAAAAGCAGAAAGATATACACTTATAAAAATAAAGGTATTAAACAATTAACAACTCCGCAATTGCAAAGACTAGTTTTGCTGTAGTAGAGTATTATTATAAAATTAAATTAAATTGAAAAGAAAAAAAATCTGGTCCGGTACACGCTATAGTTAGAGCCGTTTTAAATAAAATTGTAAAAAATATGTAAAACCAAAAAAATAAAGTGGCACTTCCGGTTAGCCGATTTTCATGAAAATTTTTAGTTACATAGTAGAACATTAGTTACATCCCAAGCATATAGAAATTTTAAATACGCATTTTCAGTTTTGTACGACTATTCATTATTGAGCTAGACTGCTCACTCACACACACATAGATCATTTTGCAAGACTTGGTTATGGATTCAGAGGACCTCAAAATGTGTATTTCCATTGAAAACTCCGATTCGAATATTTTCATGGAGATACTTTCCCTAACTATATTTTCATAAATAGGATAGCGAATGTGTAAATATGGACAATACTGATACTGATGTTTATTCAATGTATTATTAATAATTTATGATAATTTCCCATTTCTTTCTTTCCTAAAAAGAAGTTAATAAAAAGCAAGTTTTTCAACTTTTTTTTGTATTAGCAGCTGCTAAACAAGAATTTTTTATTTTATTTTACAATAATTGAAATTACATGTAATTAAAACTAGAGAGAAATACTTTATATAAAGCAGTGCTGCCCTACTATATAGGGTTGCTCAATAAACAGCATACTCATCAATCCTTTTTTTTTTGACATAACACATAATTATATTTGAATATATACAAATTCTTTTACATATCACTTATCATATACAATATTAATACTATGCTATATCAAAATAATCACTACTATACAATATATATATATTTCGGTAAAACTGATATAAAACAATCTCTGAAACTTATAGAAAAAACAAAACAACAAACATTCGAATGTCAAAATTCCAAAATTATAAAGCACACATACCAATAATTAAAACATAAATTATATACCTCTTTTTTGTTATCTTCTATATTAATATTCAATAATTAACTAAAAGTAAATAATAATTAATTGAAAATATTTTGACAGTTTTACCTTTGTTTCATCCCTCTTCTTTCCGCCACCGCCTTCAAGAGATTGCATGTTGTGTCTTTGGCCGTCGTAATCCACAAGCTTCCTCGACCTTTTATCGATCTTTTTCTATTGAAAAATATTTAAAAAATAATTTAATCAATATAGTTATGATTTATAAATTATTTTTATTAATAAATAATAAACAAAAAATAAAATATTATTTTAACATAAACAAACTGTTTGGAAACAATCGATTATTAAAATCATAGCCAATGAACTCCGAAGGATTAATTAATATTTTTAAATATAAGTTTTATTTTTTAAAATAAATAACAAAAGAAAATTATGTAAAAATTAAAATGAATAGATTTGTGTTTCGAAAAAGATTTAACAGAGACAAGGTCATGAAGCATTTGTGACGATACTAACAAGATAACCAATACTAATAAATAGTACGTTGTACATTATTTATGTCAACCTTATTTCCATTTTTTCAAGAACAGGTAACTAAATGAAATGTGTTAAAGCATCTTTATATTAAATGTCGAGTAAAATTTTATCAATACTAGTGTTCCATGTAGTATTTATAAGAAATTATAAGTCAAATCTTATGTTGGTAATATTTTTCTTAAATTGGAATTTAGACTAAATATAATAAATGAAAAATAGAAATTTGTGCTAAATCTCATCGACACATAAAACCGATCGACACATCAGATTTGGCGATGCAGGCATCTCTGAGTACAGGCTGTTAGGCCTTTTAAAATATCATAATCATATCTTTAATAAATTATAATGACAAGAAGTAATATTATGAAGATGGGCAACACTGCCCCGAAACTTTAACAACAAATTTTAAATAATAAGATATATAAAGCAGTAAATGAATGTTATTTACAATTGCAAAAAATGACTCTAGATATGATCAAAATGATATTCTATTAAATTTAAATTTATAACTAATTGAAAAAAACAAAACTAAAGTATAATTTAAAAAAAAAACTGTAAACTTATCAGGAATTAAAGTGTTCGTTCTGGACAATCTTTCATTGATTGGTCGATCAACTACTCTCCTAGGATTTTAGTAAAGATATTGCTTAAATAATGAATATTACTCACTTTCATTGATTGGTCGATCAACTACTCTCCTAGGATTTTAGTAAAGATATTGCTTAAATAATGAATATTACTCACTTTCATTGATTGGTCGATCAACTACTCTCCTAGGATTTTAGTAAAGATATTGCTTAAATAATGAATACTACTCACTTTCATTTCGGGAAATTGAGCAGAGTATGTGTTGAGAGGTAGGAGGACTTGATCGGCTAACTTGTGGCTCAAGTCCTGCCAAAGCATTTCCAGGTTCGACGACTGGGCGTAGAGTACATCCTGTCCGACCCATCCGCCTTCGTAGACGTCGTTGATACAATCGAAGAGGGACTTACTAGCGGCCTGCACGGCTAATAACAACAAAATATTTTATTTTTATAATTTTTACTTTATCTTTATTTTAAAAAAATATATATAATAGGCTATTGTGATGGAACATAAAATTAATAACAAATGACATTTAGTTTAACTCCTTAATGGAATACTCATCCAACCTCTTTTAAGCTTTCAAATAAATACTTAATTGAAAATCGGCATAAATCAGTTTGGAACAACAAAATCAGTATAACTTGGTCTATTCCTAGAAGCAGCAGAAATTAATGCTGCCCAAAGTATGGCAAACTGGTCAATTTCCATCTGACAAACGGACTTTCACTTGACTGAACAATGAAATAGAAACAAGATTCAAAGTTTTAATTATAAAATTTATGACAACTACCTCAGAAATGATTTGGCTGATAATGGGATCTCATGGAGGCACACAAAAAAATCTTGTAAAGCATCCTGAAGAGTGTAGAACTCTCCTAAATCAATATGATCCCTGTCAGACACATACAAATCTGAGCTGTTTTCCGTTCATCTTGGTTCTGTTTTAATACCTCATAATGACTACACTACAATTAGAATTATCTCCACCTTGCTTCACCCCGAAAGTTGACTTAAAAAAATTAAACAATTGCCTAAAAAGAAAATGTCCACAATATGGGTGAATCTAGTATTTTTTTCTTAATTCTTCTTCAATTTTTAAAATTAAGTTCTCAAATGTGTTACCCTCATGAATGTTACCATTAATTGGTAAACAAAATTACAATTATGTCGCCAATATACTTATTTTCTTCAATTATTGTTTATTCTACAATGTACGGGAGAAACAAACAAATTTTAATATTACCATGGTAATTTAAGATTAATAAGAGACTGGAAGGAGGATACACTCATAAGAGTACATAGTAGTAAGAAAATACACTCTCAGTTATATCAGAATCAGCTAATAAACAAAATTATAATATATGAAACATAACAAAGTATAATTTTCATGTAGATGTGTAATTTTTTCAAGAACAATCCATTAAGTATCATTCTTCTATATATGCTCTTCTATGTCTAATTGGGTCAGTTAGTATCCTTCGTAGATAGAGGAAAGGAAGACCAGAGGACAATGGTTAAACCCGGCTGTTAAGTTTTGGTCCCTCAAGCATATTATGAAAAGAAATATAATTATTGACTTAAAATCACAGGTCTTTGACAGTTGCATTAACCCAGCGGTTACCTGTGGATGCCAACCTTGGTCATTGACAAAAGCTCAAGATAAGAAGATCTAGGTATGTATGGTAGACAACATTAAAAGATGTATAACGAATGTGAGGAAAAAGGACAGGGCGAGAAATGGCAGGATCTAAAAAGAAACAGGAATTACTAATACACTCAGGCGGATAAGAATGAGCAAATGGAAATGGGTTGGGCATCTCCTTCGATGCGAAGATAACAAATGGTAAAAAATTTATCATAAATTGTACTCGATGAAACTTTATAAGAAGAAGAGAGTAGCAAAAGAAAAGGTGGAACGACATGTTCATGGTAGGACACCTTTGGTGGAGAGCTGCTATAGACAGGGATGTCTGGAAGGAAAAGTGGGCGGAACTCTCTTCTTAATAGGACCAGTCATCCTGGGAAGTGCTAACCATTACTCCTGAAAGGGAAGGCTTGTGCACAAAAGGACAAAGAAAAAAAAAAAAAAGAATAATCAATATAATTAATTTCTTTTCTCTTCTAAATAATGTAATACTTATAAATTTTGTATAAATAAAGACTTTTTCATTTCATCTTTACACACACGCTTAAATTTCCTCATTCTTCTCATTATTTTTTTTTTTTCAGTAAGAGTTTTCACCAATCTATTAGAGGAAACCTATTGTATTTTATTTTTCTTCAGCAATGATGTAAATATTTTAGTTAATCTAATGTTTTTTATATTTTTATTTTTTCATTATTTTTGAGTCTTTTGGCCAGAAATACTTTGTATATTATGTATTCCCATAACAGCTCTTATTCTCAACGGACATTGTCCCAGAACAAAGTTATTTTTCTATTTCTATTGGCTAATGGATGAGTAACCGACAGACTTACTAACCTCTTATACATCGGATATAATTATTGAATTCCTTCTGGAGGCGATTGGCAGAAATCTGTTGCCTGTTGAAGTTCTCCAAGTGTTCATCGAAAATATCATCAGCTGTCCTGTCCACCTTTCCGAAATTTTGAAGGAACTGTAAAACAAATAATAAATAATTAGTATTTGGATCAAAGGGATACCTTAAAAATAAATAAAGATAAACAACAAATGAAAACAGTGATTGCAATCATTAAAAATTTATGAATCTCCTGAAGCCCGGGCAGATCCACGGATGATGAAACAGAATAAATAATTATCTGCCACAGACTGACTAGAACCTAGGTCCTTAAAAAAAGAGGACAGTGCCTTACTCACTGAGCTATTCAGCTGCTAATCAATTATAAAAATAAGTAAAATAAGTATATATATATATATATATATATATATATATATATATATATATATATATATATATATATTCAACAAATAAATTTAAATTAATTTTTTCTGATTATTTACTTTTTTGAAGTAAACACATCTTATCTTGCGTCAGGTAGTAAATGATTGGGTTAGTGACGTTGCAAAATATTTAACTATAATTCAAATGGTAAGTCCTTAGAAGTAAAAATTACTAATTCGCCCGTGCGAATAATTCACATAATATATTATTCAGAGAACAATTGACGATGTAATATAAAAATAAATTAATGATATGTATTGATATGAGATAGAGGAAATAATTTTCTGTTTTTTAGTTGAATCACATTAGTTTATTCAAAATAATAAACCAAAACATGTGAATATTACTATTAGTCCGTGGTACAGACCCATTTTTATCAAATTATTAACATAAACCTGAAATTTCGTTAATAGCTTCATCTTATTGTAACCTATTTTATTTACGAAAATTCTCGAAATTGGGGCGTTTTCAATTTGGAGATCGTCAAACTTTGTCTATTTAATTAGGTACTAAAAACTCGTAAATATGGATTTGGTTTCCACCTAAATCGTAAGATAATTTGATCAAAAAATCGAGAAAAGAAGGTTGCCTTCAAAAATACTGAGCCGGTTGGCGTAACTCCAAATTTTCAAAATAACGAGGTTACATAGGACAAACGGCCCAATATTTTTGTAGGCCATCTTTTCTCTCGATTTTGTGATCAAATTATCTTACGGTACAAGTAGAAAGCAAATGGATATTAGCTCAGTTGAGATAACAGGCAGTGTGGATCTGGAGATCGGCAAACTTTGTTTATTTAATTAGGTAATAAAAAATTCGTAAATATCCATTTGCTATCCACTTCGATCGTAAGATAATATGAACACAAAATCGAGAAAAAATGGCCTTTAAAAATATTGAGCCGTTTGGCGTGATCTACACCCCAAAAATGTGAAAATAAGGAGGTTGTATAGGCCAAACGGCTCAATATTTTTGTAGGTCACCTTTTTTCTTGAATTTGTGTTGAAATTATCAATAAAATTAATATCAAAAATTATCTTACGATCCAAGTGAAAAGGCAAATGGGTATATACGAATTTGGAGTACTTAATTGAATAGACAAAGTTTGCCGACCTCCAGATTAAAAATGCCCCAATTTAGAGAGTTTTCGTAAATAAAATAGTTATAGATTACGATGAGATGAAGCTATTGAATGTATGTATGAAGTTGAATATATGTATATAGATATCTTAGGACATCCTTGGTGACAGATAAATATAACAGCAGCAAAATTTAAACTATTAACTATTTAAACACTACCTAATCTTACTGTGCGTTTTGAGATCGACTGAACCCAAATAACCAAATCCCGCAAAATGGTATGTGTGTGTATGTATGTGAACAGCCTAGCTCAAAAAACGAAAAGCCGTACGAAACTGAAATTGCGTATTTGAGGTTATTATAATCCTTGAATGTTACAGTAATATTTTCGTCCAAATCGGCAAACCAGAAGTGGCTTTATAAAATCGATTTAACACATTTTTATTTTCTCAAAAACCGCTCTTAAGATTTTGATTAAACTCAGTATATAAGTGTATTATTAAGCAGTTTTTAATATAATGTAGGTTTTATTCTCATTGATGTTCTCTAACAGGGTTTAAATTGCTAATTTTCAATATTAGCTACCTCTAAAATATCTTCTTTTTTTTTTAATTTGAAATAATAAACAATTTCACATAAATCTTTGATACAAAAAATAGTTAAATATAAAAAAAAATTGATAATTAACTAAAGGTGAAATAAAAGATTGTAATAGATAATAGTTGTAATGAAAGAACCAAAGAAATAAGAGCGCGGCCGAGCTCACCCGAAATATTACAACAGGCTTCCATACTAACATGAGCTTAATATAATACGGACTTAATATTATGTACAAATATATATATATATATATATATATATATATATATATGAGGTTTTCATAAATGCTATCGTTGCTATTATTCAATATGTACGCAAATAAAAATACCCACAATGAAAATTAAATATCTCTCCCTATCAAAATTCGATATTCCCCATCCATATCCACAACATTCAAAACCCTCCTATTCCAATTCCTATCCCAAAAACTATAGTCAGATAGTTGCTAACCATTCGACAACATACATTTATTTCATGCCATTCATTGTCAAATATCAATGCTAAATGATAATGTATTTATATATTAATCAGGCACTTTATATTGTCAGATTCAGCTTTCTGTTTTCTCAACAGAAACACTAAGCTTATTTTAATAAAGAATTTAATATTTATATTTTTTTAATTCTTTATTGTTTGCTTAAAAGTGTAGTAATAGTCTATCAGTGGAAGTAGCTTTAAGTGTCTTGTCATAGTGTTAATTGTTTTGTATATAGTTTAGTTTGTTTTGTATATAGAATGTTTACCTTATATTATCTTTACATTATTTCTTTTTTTCGATTGATTTTATTTTGGCCAGATGTAATCTTTTGATTTTGTTATTCTCAAGGGACTGTGTCCCAGAATAAAGTTATTTTCTATCTATCCATCTATCTATCTAAATAAATAAATACAGCGTCTATAATTTTTACTTTTCCTTCCTATTTTTCTGAAAATACTTATTTCTGCTAAGACGAGGGCACGGGCGGATCAACGGGGGGAGGGGGGACTTTCGGGCTGAAGCCCTCCCCCACCAAAATGGTAAAATATAGCCATGTTTTATCGAAAAAAATATAAAAAAAGTATCTCTTAAAGTATTATTGTTTGTGTAATTACATTTAAAGGGACTTTAGGAATCACTTAAACACCATTTCATACAGGTAGTTAGTTTCTTTCATCTTTTCCAAAGTAATTATCGTTATTTTTATGAAAAAAAACCGCTTTCGGGCTGAAGCCCCCCCCAAATTAAATCCTGGATCCGCTAGTGGACGAGGGTGGTAAGTAAACAGCGTGTGATGTGCGCACTATATTTTTAAAAAATCAAATTATTAACTCACGTCTTAAAGTTCATGAATGGCTTCATCTTATCGTAACCCTACAACATTTTTATCTTTTCGAAAATGGTTCGTTTCCAAGTTGGAGATCGATCGGAAAACTTAGTCTAATTAAATGACAAGAAGCTCTACACTAGCCCTAGCTAGGCCAGCGAGGGGCGAATTATATTTAGAAATCGGCTGCGGCGTCTCATTTTACACAGGCAATGACATCCGCGCCTAGACGAAGGCAAATATCCAGCAGCGGGCTAAATCGGTACCGGGTTCTATTCTCGAACACGTGCCATTAAAAGGGCAACTGCCAATCTGTCCTCTGGAGTAAGAGCTTGTCTGTTAGCGAAGGTGAGGGGTCTGCTATCTATGGAACCAAAACAGCCAATAAGGGGTCTGTGGTATACCAACGAGGATACCAGAAGTAGATGGCTTTCCAATATCGGCCAATGCGGAAATATATTATCTTGAATTTACTGAGAGAGGGGAGAGAGCTTTCAATTATCTACATATCAATATCCACCTACAACAAGATGGTTTCTTATAATATTTTAAGTAGAAAATATCTGCACCATGATAGAAAGATGACAAAATATTATTTTATAATTGAGAATGTATCACTGATTTTAAATTTACTACTTACTATTAGTATGATTAGTTCAGTAATAAATCCTATATATTATTTCTAAAAGGTGTTTTTTTTGTCGGTGAACGATAACTTCACTCATTTTGAAGATATTCTTCTCCTTCACATGCGAAAAATAGTCTCATCCCCCGAAATTTCTGAGGGAAAAGAAACTTTATTTGTGAATAACTCAAAAAGTATGCATTTTTTTCTTGAATGTACCCATGATAATTAGAAAGATTACTAAATTAGCTACAAAACCAAAAACAAAAAAAAATTGAGAAAATCGATTAGAAGTATTAAATAAAGAAATTTTAAACATTTTTTTCACTTAATTTTGTCTGGTTTGATGAAAAAAAATGGGAAATGAAATTTATCAATGTGACTGTTATCACCAAAACAATCCTGCGATATGATAACATAACCTAGAACTAATCACTGCTTTAGAAGCGGTTGGAAAGGAGCAGTAAAGATGATATGATTGACGAGCAGTGCTTGACTGCCAGCAGTCGGTGCGGTGGGCAGTACCAAAGAGGCAGTACCTAAGGTATCAGAGAAAAGGAATTTCATGAAGAGGAAAATAATAAATTTCGACCCATAAGTTTGTTCTACAACTAGAATAAAAGTCATTGAAAACGTCAGCTAAATATGGTGAGAATATTGTTCTCACAATATTACATATATTTAAAGGTATATCATTTTTCATTTGAGAATCAATCCTTCGGAAGAAGCCGTTTTCGAAATACAGCAATCCCTCAATATTCGCGGCTTTGATATCCGCAAGTTTTGACCATCAGATAATATCACATGCTGATCTACGGGGGGAGGGGAAGGAGGATGTTCCGGGCTAAAATGTAACCACGTTTTGTGGAAAATAATCCACCAAAATTAAATCCTGGATCCGCTAGTCGTTAATACGTTTCAATTATTTATTTGACTATTAGTGATTAAACCAACAACATAAGCAATTTCCAATACAGTAGGAATGTTTTAATTCGTGAAAAGGATGGAACAAGAACGTACTGAATAAAGTCAATTATTTATTTTTTCGTAGTTAACAAAATTAACATTTTCAAACATTTGAATAT